ACTATTGGGGCCGTATACTGTTATTAGATAATACACCATGCCCGACCGACTAATCTCCAACACAATCATACGGTCACACTGCTCAAAGTCTATCCTCCTTATTCCTGCCTGCATACCATTAGGAATTAAGATTGCGACTCCTCCTTGATTCGCTGAACGCCCATGTGATACAAACACTGGTGCACCCCATTCACTTTCCCAGCGACTCTCATCCCCCACAACCGAATGAGTTTCTTGTAGGCAAACAGCATGCTTTGGGTACATAGCGTGAAGGTGACGAAACAGAGCCCGTCTTTTCAACACGTCACGCACACCCCTTACATTAATGGTGATTAGTTGTATATCACCCATCAATCACAACAGAACCTCTGCGGTAAAGTAACGAAAACTCTCTGATCACTACCCACTCCCCGTAAGACGCACACCAAGTCGCGTATCCCACTATCACCCGTGTACATCCCAGCACTGTGCCTGGTCTGTCCGCTCACAATCTTCCTTACCTCCAATAATCGCGTATGTCACGCATGCCCTCTCCCCGCGGCTCCGACGAACTCCTAGCCGCACTTCCCTCTTTGTGTGGTTTCGGCGCAACATCCCTCTCCCCGGTCTTCCCAGCCGGTCGGCTCGACGGTGGCGCCATCTCAGCTGGCTGAGCTGTACCTTCGGTTCCAGATGTTGCCGGCAGACGGCGCTCCAGACAGGAAGGCCCCGCGGTGGCGCCACCCTCCTGGCCGGTGACACCTTCCCTCCGCGGTTGACTGCTGTCCTCTCTCCTGTCAGCAGATCTGTCAAGCTCCGCCGGCCCGCGCAGTGTTTCACCGAGCCGTGACTGCTGGACGCGGCCGGGAGGTCGCGCCAGGGGCGCCCGCGGGCGCACCATGTCAGCCCGGCCGGCGCCCTCTGTCTCCGCACAGGCGCCAGCGGCCGGCCGCGGGTCAGAGTGAGGGCTCCCATCAGCCTGCTCACTTTGTAGAGCAGGGTCACTCTCACGACATATAGCCGCAGGGTGGTGAACGCGACCCTCGTTGACCAGCGCAGAGGCGGCCGCAGGCGCGCGTGCTGGTGGGGGCCCCGCCTCGCCGGGGAGACGGTCTCGGCCTCGGCCAGCACCACCGCCGGCGCCACCCACGGCCAGAGACCGGCCCGCTCCAACCGAGGCCGCCGCAAGGGCGGCACCAGGCATGTCGGCTATGGAGGCTTCCATGTCAATGGGGCAGGGTCTAAGAACTTGATATATCTTACGCTCTGCCTCATCTTTTGACCTGACCCTGCTGAGTTTGTCGTCACGCCCAACAGCGTACAGCACCTCTCCGCCACTCGTTATAGCTGCAGATATTTTCCGCGCTTTTCTTAATTCAAGCAGGAAGTTCAGGGCCTCCTGTCGGGCTGGCGTCAGGCTTTCATTAATGTATAACTTCTGCCCTCGCAACTTTGACTTGGCCTTATACACCTGGTCTCGTAAGGAGCCGCGCTCGTCGCTAGCAAATCTGACTAGCAGGCGGTTCCTTGACAAGCGTTGCACACTTGCAATGTGGCCTGGGCTTACCTCCAGTTCCAGGTGTCGATTTATCAAGGCCGCTACGGCTGGCTGAAGCGCCCGGTCGTTGTTGGGGATGTGTAGGTCATCCCCAGAGAAGATCAGCACTGGTCTCCTTCGCAGCCTGTCTGCCTCCTCTTTGTCATTTTCGAGCCGTTCCAGGCGTCCTCGGAGACAATTAATTTCTTCGTTCACGTTTTTCACGTCCTTCTCACACTGGTTCAGTTTTCGTGATGTCTCCATTATCGTTTCGTAAGCAAAGTTCAGTGATTCCTCTATGCTGGTTATTTTTAAGTCAAATGCCCTTCTTATTTCGTTGACGGCCTCACCAGTTTTTGTTTCGATGAAGGTTTTGAGCTCCTCTATCGCATCTTGCAATTTCGGCCCTCCTTCATCTTCCTTTTCCGGCGTTCCTGATTGGTGACGCCTCTTTCTGCCCTTCGTCATCACTCCTCACTTCAATGTCTCGTCTCAGCTCTCACTCACACGCACCTCTACCCGCCCGCTGCGGTCACTGACACACCGCCGGGTCAGGTCGGGACGCGGCCGGCCGGAGGAGGCCCACGCACGTCCGCTCGCCACGGCTGTCGCGGCGCAACTCCGGGTACGACCCCCCTCGCCGTTTCGCCCCAGGTGGAGCTAGCGCGTCGCGGTAAAACGAGCGTGTGCGCCGTTACGAGACGCAGAGATCGATACCCGATTTTATGGTCCTAGGTCAACCGGTGACCTCTGACACCGTTCCGTGCTTCTATCCTCAGGATACTGAAATCCTTCTCCTCCACACCGCAACCCCCTCCGGGCTGGACAGGCAACTTTATCTCATGCGGGCTGCTCCCTTGGAGCGGCACCGCTGCTCCCGAGGGAGCGCACCCCGTAGCCGGGTGCAGTGAGTGCCTTGGGGCTGGGTGGCCTGTCCTCTGGACGGGCTCAGCCCCGGCGACTCACTAGCGTGCCTGCCCAGACCAATGTCTCCCCCTATATCCTATCATCCTTCCGGCTCTGAAATGGTCTCATTGGACCGAAAGGGCCTAACCCAACAAAACAAACAAAAACCGGTGACCTCTGAGGTCAGGTCAAGTGCCTCAAGGCACGGTTCCGTTTTTGGTGAATAACTTCGCAAAAAAATGGCCGCAGAGCCGCGATTTTGCCAGCATCGTGTTCGCCTCTCTCAGGCGCGTCGAATGATATACTTTTTGTTTGGTTGAGGTAAACTTAGGGTGTTGACCTCGGGTCACGGTCAGGTCGGCGTCCCCAGGTCACGAAATTGGTCGAAGGAGGTCATGTCGCATATCATTCGATTCGGCAGGTCTTCTTGAGTCCATAGGTGGCTTTCCCGACTCGCTAGCTCAATTTGATCGGTACCTAGTTATTGACGAAAAACTAATAAGACCCTTATAACTTCATAAAAGACGTCGCGCAAGGTCAACATTGCAAAAGTGACGCATCGAACCTTGCAAGGAGTGCATGAATTCACGATTTGGTGTGCTTGAGATAGTTGGAGATCGATCGTTCCCGGCGCCAGAAAAAGTTTTCAGTTTATCCCCATTGACTTATACCTAATGGTGAGGTCACGAAAATGACCTGACCTCATATGAACTTTAGGAAAAATCCGAGATATAGTTACATTATACAAGTTGAAAGACTCCTATTGGATACTAGGTCCTCCAAGGTTCATTTCCCTGTGAAATCTCCTCTGGCAGTGAGGGCGTTGCGAAGTTGCGACATCTGAAGACCGTGCAGAGGTTCACTTATGACCACATGGGTCAGTGACCTGATCTGACCCGAAAATGCGGTTGGTGTCAAAAGATTCCGTTTGATTCAAAGGTCAGGTATGCCAAGCTTCAGCTCTCTATCGCCGGCGTGTTCGGAGCTATCGCGAAAAAAACTATGGAGGGGCGGCACCCGCCCCCCCCCCCCCCCGGCCGGCGAGGGTTAAGGCCCTCAGAGACCAGTACAGGGCCTGCAAAGGGCAAGATGAGACCTTAAGATGCCGACTTGGGCCATCAGAGGCTAATGTGGGTCATTACAGGTCAGCATGGGCCCTTAGAGGTCAGTGTGGGGCCCTAAAAGACCGGCATGGGCCGGCGTTGGACCCCTAGGCCAAGGTGGACCCTCAGAGGCCGATGCGGACCCTTAGAGGCCGGCATCGGGTCTTCAGAATTCAGTGCGGGGCCCTCAAAGGCACCTAAAGGCTAGTCTTGGGACCCCAGAGACAGAAATGAGGCCACCAGAGGCCGGTGTGAGGCCCTCAGACGCCGGCTGGGCCCTTGAGGCCGGTTTAGGGGCCCTCAAATGAGGTCAATGTGGGCGCTTGACCGCCACTGAAGGGCCCTCCGAGATCAGTGTAGGACCCTCAAAGACTGGTTTGGGAGCTGTTAATAGCTAGCGTGGGATTCTTGAGTCTCGTGACAATCGAATAAGGGCCAGAGCCCCATACGCCCATGGGGGCCCATTGGTTGCTTGGGGGGGGGGGGGGGGCAAATGATATGATGGCCCCCTGATTAGCCTTTGGAGGGGGAAGGGCATGGCCCTGATCCCCCTCTGCGACCGCCACTGCACTGAAAGTGGAAGGGGGAGGGGCAGAAACAGACATTGCTGGCCCCCAGCCTGTTTGAACCGAGGCTGAGGCACGGTCACCCTGGCCCCCAGCTAGTACGCCTTTGACGAACTATGCCGACCCCAAGCAGATAAGGTCAAGCGTTGGTCGTTTGTATACGCATTCTCCTGCACCGTGCTAGTATTGTCTTAGTATTGCCTATACCTTTTTAGTACTCGCTGTCCCGCGCCTCGTATTCAACAAAATGCTGTCACCAGGACTCACAGTCTTGTCTCTGATATGGTTTCCTTCATTGAGTGAAGGAAATTGCGGTCAATAACGCTGTAGAAACAAAAAGGAATCCTCATTAAAGGGCAAGCTGAATAGTTGTCAAGTTACCGGGTGGTAGGTTAGGTACAGACAGACACTTAAGTCAGCAAAAAGTGGGGGGGCCAGTTAACACTGCTGGCCCCCCACCTCCGAAAGTGGGGGGCCATGGCCCCCCGGCCCCCCCTGTTCCTACGCCTATGGAAGAGATTATGATCTAAAGCAGGTGCAATGCCTTCAATTTACGCTTATTGCATGATAAAGCGTTACTAATTGCGTCAGTCACCAGTCCCACTCATGTGCAGAGCGGAGAACGCATCCCGCACACACACACGCACAGGTCTCGCGGGTTTTAGCGGTAGGTTTTGCACCTAGAAATTTTAGTGTACTTCAGGCTATATCTTCGTAGTCTTAAGGTTTTAAGTGTTGAAAATGCGATCGACTTGTTGGTTCTCAAGCCGGCCATGATCGTGTAAAATGGCTTTATCGTAGATCGATTAGTTTCTGAGATATAACCGGAAATGTAAAAGTGCAAAACCTACCGCTTAATCTCGCTAGAGCCGTACTTCGACTGAACGGATCGTGCACCAAACACTCAACCAAAGTTCAATGTTTTATAAAAACGGATACTCCAAGGCATACAGTTGGACCAAAACAGGTCAAACGGCACACACACAGTTCAGTAATGACGGCCGACCCAGAGACGCGGTCGTAGCCCCTGATCGAGAGGTGAGTGTCGGCCGTTTGAAGACACTATGTATCGCAATTACCACCGTCTGATCGCTACTGGCCATTGCAACCAACGGGTGTCCTTGCAGCGTCACTGGAAATACATGCAGTGGGTGCAATCACCTGTACCATTCTGAGTTGTACTACAATGTACAGCAAAGCTTATGTGATCGTGTGATACACAAAGAAGTATAGGTAAAACAAAGACACAATTTGTCACAGATAAAGTACGATGACAAAATGTTGAAAGTATTAAAATCATACACACTTAAGTAAATAGCTTAAAGACTTTAGCTACCTGAGAAAGCGCAACGGAACAATACGAAACAGTCTCACAACACAAATGGGTTTTCTACTTCAATGGCACTAGTTAGCTAGCAGAATAACGAGTATTAAGAAGCACCTGATCTCTCACAAAGAAGAAACGCAGACTGAGACATAAACTGCGCGCACCAGCCGAATCAAGGCCACTTCCATGAGGTCACGCCAGCTCACATAACTACGTGAGTTTACGCCTCGCTCCGTCCCGAGCGGCGTCACAGAGCGGGCTCGGCTCACTGCACGGATCCCACCCCGCCGCCGAGTGGCGCCGGCCCGCGGAGGCCGGCGGTGGCGGAGGGAGGCCCCGCAGCAGCGGAGGGCGGTCTGCCGGCGGAGGGCGGTCCCGCAGCAGCGGAGGGCTGTCTGGCGGCGGCCAGCGCACAGTGTGGCCAAACACCAGTTTAGCGCGAATTAAATCCCAGCGCTGCTCGGATCCGTTGAAAATGGTTCCCTGGTTTCAAAATTGACACTTAAACCTATGTGAGACCTTTTACGATGCATTATAAATGCTTGCTGACAAATCATGGCATGCCATAGTTCCGCCTCTAAAAGTAAGGAGAACTAGCTTACGACGGGTGATGTGCTTACCAGGCCAGGGCTGTGAAGTCGATGGAGTTACTCCGACTCCGACTACAGCTTTCAAAAGTCAATTTCAACTCTGACTCCGGGCAAAACTGTCGACTTATACGATCGACTCGGACTCTGACTCCGCAGCCATGGCAAGTCCACGCAGTCGATGGATTTTCGGTGACTCAGGCTACGAGTCTTGGTCCGGATTCCAAAATCGATTCCGATTCCGAATCTGACTGCAGGGTCAGAACTGTTGACTCCGAACGACTCCGACTCTGATTACGAAATCCTGGAATTTAACCGCAAATAAGAGGCATAAAATTGTGGGTCCCAGCAATGATGGGCATGTTAGGAGGAGGAATCGTTTACGAAATTCCCATCATTTCTCTGGTAAATTCTTATGATTGTCCAAAGTTTGCTTGAAAAAAAAATCAACATCTAATTATGTTTCTGTGTGAATGTTCCTGGTGAAGCACATGAATCGGTAGATGGTTGCTGAAATACACGCACCGATAAAACTGAACCTCAGCAATGGGAGTAAAAACAAAGACTTACACCATAAGCACCTTCATGTCACTAACCCTCGCCCGTATTGGTGTTTTGCTAGCCGCGAACGTAGGTCGGGTCAGGTCAGGCCAACCAGTCCTGCCGGGTATTCATAATTAATAGGTGTCAACCGCCAGTGACAGCTTCGTTGCACGTTACGAAGGCACCAAAACTTCTTCCTAAATGTTCAAATGGTTACTAAATTCGAAATCAGCTCCAAAAACTAGCCTGGAAGCATGTAAAACTAAAAAAGGTGAACCAAAGTCATCAAAAGTCATTGAACTGACCTGACCTTCAAGTGATCTTGACACCGACCATAATGCATGGGACCAACATCATAATATCACATGTTTAGACGCTTGAAACCACGAAAAGACTGCAAACGCGCGGCTAATGCAAGCAAACATACGCCCAATCGCGCTTCCGGCCAAACATGGTCTCGAGAAATAGGTCACAGGTCAAAGGTCATTGGGGTCAGGGTCGTGAAATTTAATGGGTAGGTGTAAAATTGATAAACTCGAGGGTACTAAAAGTTTCGTCGCGATCGGCCGCTTTTTACATGAGCTTTTTGCGAGAAACCGAGAGGGGTCCTTTCGACCCCCACCCTCACCCCCTATATGGGTGAGGGTTGAAAAATTGTCAAGATTTATTCATTGGCGACCGTATTTTGCAATATAACAAGTCAGAAATACAGCGTTTGAGCCATCCGCGTAACGTATACGGAGTCGCCGCCCCGCCCACCCTGTAGCCGGACCTCCCCGGGCGGGCCAACCCGATACGTTCAAAGCTGAGCCAAAGGCCGGGGGGCAAGTTGGGGCAGGGTTTCTTGAATGGGTCATGTCCAGAAAAGTGTGGCGAATCTTCTCATGGTAGATTTGACGTGGAGTTTTTTGGCCATTTTCTTATATCTCTACGTTTTTAAGATGGACAGTGTTTTCAGGGGATGTTTGAAAAGGTCATTTTCAAATGAGCATAACTCATCGGTTAGTCCAAGGATACCTATAGAATTCGGGTATACTATCAAATATAGGCTCAGTAGTCATATGCCACTCCAATTATTTCCAAACCTTTCCGACAATTACGCCAAAATGTGTTGTAAACATGACGCGGGTTTTCGACGATTTCAGCACAGCCGGGACCGGCATTGCGTATGTCCACTTTAGCTAGCTTTTTGGACACCGAAAGGAAGACATTGAACCAAAGTATTGTGATATTTACATACTTTGGACAATTTCCTATCGACTGATGGTTATAAAAAGTCAAAATTCCAAAATCCGTTTTTTGATTAAATTCGCGCTAATCTGGCTTTCGGCCACACTGTGCAGCGGCCCGGACTCGCCCTGCCGCGGCGGAATGATGCGGTAGATCTCCTCCCGGCTCAGTCCGTGCACAGAGCGCAGGTGGGTGCGCAGGTTGGGCACGTTGCTGCTGGCGCGCTGGCACAGCGGACACACCGTCAGGCCCGTGTGCTTGTGCTTGTGGTCGCCGAGCGCGGTGGCACTGCGGTAGCTGCGGCCGCACACGTCACAACTGTAGCGGCGGTCGTCCTCTGCCGGCAGACGCACAGTCAGGCGAGCGGCCGCTGCACAGCCTCCGAGCCCGGCCCAGCCAGCCTTCCTGCAGCTGTCACTTGCCGCTCCGTTCAAATGATGAGATATCAAATATCAATACATTATTCCGGCAACCGCAACAAGAAAACAAAGAAGAGAGGGGACGTAACTAGTATAATTCACCGGTTTGCAAGCGGTTTGCAAGCACATACCGAATATAACAAATGTGGTACAGTGGAATCTCAACGTGATCAATACAAAAGTATTGCAACAACCATGGTGTTTCGTCCCAGTCATAAGCGGCGGAACTGGGGGGGGGGGCACCGGGGCATCGTGCCCTCCCCCTTGATCTTGCTATTTTAACCCGCACGGGGCTGGGGGGGGGTAAATTTTACCCCCCCCCCCTCGCGAATTTTTGCGATATCTCAAAAACGGCGGCGCGCAGCGCCGCCAAACTTTCAGTACCTTTTCTTACATCAATTTGACACCTTCCCTGAAAATTTGAGCGAAATCCGTCGGAAAATTTTTGAGAAATTGACGTTTTAGTGACGTCATGTTCGCCATTTTCGCCTCAAAAACGGCAAAAGTTCAGACGCCGCTAACATCTTCATTTTTAAAGGAATCAAGACGTAACAAAAAAGGTTATACGTAATTTTACTTTGTCTATCAAATGGCTATCTCGGTTTTTTGAAAATTTTGGATTTTGGCCTAAATTTTTTCAAAAAACTGATTTTTTTGGGAAAATAGCTATAAAATCCAAAATTTTGAGTCTATCGAAAAAACCGGAATATATGTCAGAGAAGTGGTCTATGTGCACCTACATACCAAATTTTAGAAGAATCAGTTCAAAAATGTGGGAGTTATTCAAAATTTTATGACGTCACGACACACAAATTTTTTGAAAAATGACTTTTTTGGAAGTTCTAGACCTCGTACGGAAACAAAAATAGCACCATTCGATTCGCCGTGAAAAACTGCATCAGATAGACACCTTTTTAGGCCTTAACAACCAACTTCAAAATTTGACCTCACTTGACCTGACCTTGACCATGAACTCGACCTGAAATTCATCCAGAGGTAGTCCATATCACTTATTGAGTGTGCCTATTGAATTCTATGAGTAAAATGACCCATAAAACATGTGTCGCACATGCCCTTTTCTATATTTTGTTTTTTGGTGACCTGACCTGACCTGACCTGACCTTGACCTTGACCTCTGAATGATATTGTATGCAACTAATATTGTCTTGGTAGCCTAAGAACACGTTTTGGGCGATCAGTCTCAGTCCATGACTCCATTCTTCGGCAACTACGGTGCAAGGCCGATACTGTAGAAACTTACAATTTGTACCCTTGACCTGACCTTGACCTTGACCTCAAACTTTAAATTAAGTACATGTTTTTAGTAGTTCGTGATGAGAGCTTTCGATTGGCGTTTGAATTTTCCAAATCGGACCATTAGTTCGGGAGATAACAGGGGGGGTAAAATTTACCCCCCCCCCCCAGCCCCGCGCGTTCGGCTGGAGACCCCAGCCCCGCGCGGGTTAACATTAGCCCTATGGGCGTTGCATGGAAAGAATGGGACCAAACTTCGGCAGTGCACCCCCCCCCCCCTGCCCCCCCCAGTTCCGCCTTGTGGGTGTTGAAGGTGTTCCGCCGCTACTGGTCCAAGTTCTCGCGGCTTTGGTGAGCCGAGATGCCGTGCGGCACAGCATCTATGCAGGCGTCAACTGCTACTGCCATCTATGGGGAATGAGCGCAAATAAAGCCTTGTAATTGATGGCTAGATGGCGGCATTGAGGTGGCAGGGCGAGGCAGCCGTTTGTAGTTTGCGCTTTTTTGGGGCGTAAGGTCTCTTGTTTGATCATTCCATGACCATTGTCTGCCGGCTGACCACTGCACCCACCGACACACAGCGACTGACGGTACGGTAACGTGTATTCAGAGAGATCACTGCGCGGCACTGCGACCCGACACAGCTCCAGCGGGCCGCAGGAGTCGAGCACACAACTCGAGTGTAGGTATCGGCACAGAGGCGGGGTGTGATGTGACACTGTACCTACAGCTCACAACTATGCGAACAGACAGGTATGAGGAAGGCCTACGCACGCCGGGCAATTTTAGCTTACGACAAACCTACAGACCGTGAAAGCGTAACAGCTGCTAAAACATTGATAGCTCAGGCAAGTTAAATGATGGACATGTGGTAGGCAGTGCAGGATAATACTTAGCTTCATATAGGTACTCGTATGTATGACCAGTGCATTATAAAACGTTTCAATTGCATAAAAACATCACCGTTACACTGTTCGCCATTCAAAATCAAAATATGATTATGAAATGAAAACAGCGCATTGCAAGACAAGGAAATGGAGTCACCATCGACAGAGAAATACAGCAACATACAAGAGCAATGAAACTTAACTACTCCGGAACTGCTTCAATCCGGCATTGACGGATAAACAACAGCTAGGGGCTGAGAGCATTGCGGTTCGATGAATAATCTATCACAATTACAAAACAACTCCCTTCCACTCAGCCAGTAAGAGCACGATAACTCGCTGAGTGGTGAGAGCGCAAACCCAAATCAGCCACCACACCGCGCCACCACACGCATCTAATCTATGTTCACACGCTCTCCGTACACTAGAGCAGGATGTTGGCAGCCGCGGCGTCTGCCGCGCCGGCCGTCTCGGCCGTCGCGTACAGTCCACTCTCCTCGCTCTCCTGTAACCGCTGCTGTAACCGCTGCTGCTGCTGCTGCTGCTGCTGTAACCCCTGCTGCTGTAGCCGCTCTATCGCCGGCGGCGGCGGCGCCGGGCGGCGGCCCCGGGGCTCGGACGGCACCAGCGCGTACACCTGCTCGGCCGACTGGCCGTGGACGGTGACCAGGTGGCGGCGCAGCGTCGGCACAGAGGCGTACACGCCGCCGCACAGCGCGCACTGCGTGCGGCCCACGTGCTGCTTGGCGTGGTTGCGCAGCGACGAGCGGCTCTGGAAGACGCGCTCGCAGTGCTGGCACTGGTGGCCGGCTGCGGAGGTCAGGAGAGCGGGTTCACTGCCGGAGCGCCGGGAGTGCCGGGCGCGCACCGCCGTCACCACGGCGTCCGCATATACCCACACTTATTGGTATTTTCACCCGTAATTAGTTGCCAGTCATTCTAGAAAATACGCCATCTGCGAGTTTTGCCTGTTTCAAGTCACACTAGCCACTATACGAGTGACCAAGGTAATTGGGCTATATGGATCTAATGATCCCAAAGCTGAATAAAACGTTTCGGTATCGCATCACGGGTGAAAGGTAGGGGAAAGTGGAATTCGATGCAGCTCGTCACGGGGAGCCTTATGGTGGTCTTTGTTTTGCGCTAAAAGGTCTAGAATTGCTAAAAGTTGAGTTCAAAAATTTGACATCATCAATTATGAACTTTTTTTTTCGCTATAACTTGGTCAAAAAGGAGGTATCGATCTAAAATTTGGTATGTACAGGGTGGCGCCGATAAATGAAGACCATATGTGCTCCACACAAAACATTAAATTTTTTTACAAAAGTCAGTACATTAGATGGAAGCTTGGAACTGGGCTGACTGATGGCGACCTGTCGAGCACACTTCACTCGATGAATCCCCCTCCGCGTCGATGACGGCCTTGATGCGCGGCCTGAACCGGGCGCAGGCCTTGGTCAGCATGGTCTTGTCCATCTTAACCATCATCTGCTTGATGGCTGACTTCAGAGAGTCAATATTGTTGTGTGGGTGTTTGTTAGTGTCCCTCTCGACTACGCCCCACACGTAATAGTCGAGCGGGTTCAGGTCCGGGGAGTTTGGCGGCCAGAACTCGGGCGTGATGTGGCTGTGCAGGTTGGCGCTCATCCACTCCTGCGTCAACGTGGACTGAGGGCGGGTGCAGAGTCTTGTTGGAACACATAGGGCCTTCCTCAGCCACTCGGTAGATCCAGGGCTTCACGACGTCACCGTCATCGACGGTGACGTCGACGTCGGGTCGTCGTCGACGATGTTCTCGACTTTTGCAATGAAATCGTCGTCTCTGACGGCATCAGATCGTCGGGGAAGTTTCTTCCGCTTTGCCACAGACGGAACGTCGCCCAGAGACTCATCCAAGATCCGCTCAACTTTATAATCATGGCTTCTGTCGACCTTGAGGAAGTTGGCGGCCTGGGGTGCCTTGCTGCCGGCGTGAAGCGCCACAATGACCGCGTGCCTTTTCATTTCTTTCGCTATCATCTTCAGCTGCAACGTTCCCTTTTGCTATGGACAACAATTTACATAAAGCATGGCACATGAATGCAAACAAATTATTGCTTTGCACAAAATAGTTTCCTCGTAACACAGGTTTGAAATTTGTGGTTATTTACCGGCGCCACCCTGTAGATAGAAGAGCACAGGGACTATCATGCATATTCTGTTTTTTTTTTTCAATATTCTGAAAAAAAACTTTGGGGATTTTTTCGCGTTTTTTTCTTTAAAAAAATCATTTATTTAATTTTTGGAAGTCAAAATCCCATAATTTTGAAAATCCGAGATAGCAATTTTGTAGCACCGTCTTTTCTCTACAGGACCATATAAAGAACTTTGAAATTGCTTTTTAACTGTATGTAGTTTTGTCAGCGTTTTGCTTGTTTATTGGGGCTTTAGGGCGCGTCGACAGCAAAGGTCATTTTGCGCCCATTTTGTCAGCGTTTCAAGATTTCATGTTTTTTGCTCATTTTTGCTCGAACATGACCTCAGTTTGACCTCAATAACTCCTGATCTAAAGTGACCAAGACTTGAAATTTTGTGTGAAGGTGTTAAATTGATGCCCGGGAAGGTATTGAAAATTTGGCGGCGCTGCGCGTCGCCGTTTTCTTGCTATTCAGAAAAAAAAATCACAGGGGGGCATATTGCCCTCCCAAAAGGGGCGAGGGTTAACCCGCGTCGGTGCTCGGCGCCAGCCGCGCCGGGCCGGTGAGGAGGGGGGGGGGGGGGGTCTGAACACCTCCCCG